GTGGTTACTACCATGTGATTCAGATGGGCTTAACTTTATTTTTAGAGCAGGGATGTTTGTTGACTGGCTAAACCTGTGAGCATTGTTCTTCCATCCCCTAGGCCAACACAGTTCTTGGTCCAAGGTGGAATCCTCAATCTAATTCAGCTAATGAAAACCTAGCTCCAGGATTTTGTTCTGAGGGAGACAGTCTTGCTTTTCCTTTGGGGATGAGGATGTGAAATTCAGGGCAGCTGCAGCCACATTGTGACCACAAGAGGAGAGTGTCAGTCCAGAAGATTAATCATTTACTGCACATCTAGTCTGTAAACAACCAAACAATCAAAATTCCTGCCTAGAGCTGAGTACTTAATTCTAAAGTGGATGTTCTAAGTATAAGACAGAAAGACTCAGATACATTCATTAAGCAAGTTTTCTTGCACCCTGCTAGGTGGTAGATGCTGTGGGCAGGAAGGACCCAAGGGGAATGGGTTGGAGAAACTGTGGGTCTCTGCCCTGTCTCTAGTCCCTGCTGGGTGGAGACCAGCTTGGAGTCTAGATGTCTTTCTCATTACTTATCTGTAGCAGCAGGAATGTCACCAGTCCCTGGTCCAACCAGCAGGGGTGCTCATCTGGATTCTAAGATCCTTCCCCATCATAGACAAGGTCAAAGTTTCAGATTACTCTGTGCTCCTCAGATCAAAGGTGGGCTTCTGAGCGCCTCGAGGCATGGTGGAAGTTGCGGGGAGAAGCCCCTATGTGTGTCCAAGGTGATGGTGGTTTGACTTACCTTGAGGCCTCCCACTGAGCTTGAACAGTGGGGAGGTCACATCTAGTGGTGGATGCTCCGCTGGCTGCAACTTGGCATCCCTGTTATGAACATGAGGTCTAATTGCTTTGTTTTGAACTTTATACAGAACTAGAACATATGTCCAGAAAAGTACACATAAATGAGCACAGCCTGATGAACTCTCAAAACCCACCATGAAGGCACATCCTGAAGGAGAAACAGGACATTGCTGGTGCCCCAGAAGCCTCTCTGGAGACCCCATCTAGTTACTTCCCCAAAGAATAACCACCATGCTGACTTCAATTGCAGATCTGTTGGCTTGTTTCTGACTTTCTGCAAATGGGATTTTGCAGTGTACACTCCTTGCCCAACAGCTTCTCTGGAGGTTCATCGTGTTGTTTTGGGTGGTGGTAGACTGTTCATTCCTGTTTCTGCTGCACCATAGTCACTGGGTGACGATGTGCTTTACCTCAGTGAGCAATTCAGGCTGTTTCCATCCAGGGCTTAATAGGTGGGTACTGCCATGAACTCCGTTGTGATCTTTTGAGGAAGACATGCATGCATTTCTTTTGGCCATATACCTAGTTGTGGAAGCACTGGGCTGTAGATCTATAGAAGTTCAGCTTAGGAGACATTGTCAAATAGTATTTCAAAGAAACAGAATAAAAATCATGCATTCCAGCAATGCACACGAGTTCCAGGTCAACACTTGCTATGTTCTTTTTTTGTTTCAGCCCTTACGGTAGGCGAGTGTCTGTTTTTTGTGCTGAAGGAGGCTTGCTAGAGTGCATTGCTACTGTTAGTAATGAAGAGTAGTTGAGAGTAAGAGCTAAGACAAACACCGCCATGCTGTGCATCTGTCTTGCGTGGCTCTCAGCCCTAATGGGCACAGCTCATTTGTGACCCTTGAGCTCACGGTTCTTGCTGTTAGAGTGTCTAAAAGCTGGCCTTTCTTTATGGCAGTTTTGGAAGGTATGTTAGCATGTGCCCTCTGGGGAGAGATGGGCCCTAAAAAGCGTGGAAAGGGGAGAGGTAGGTATTTGTTTTCTTGAGACTTCCTCTTTGCCTAGGAATTCACTGCACTGAAATTTCTGGATCCCCTTGTGATCTGGACTGCCAGTGCAGCAGGGTGAGCCTCCCAGGTCTGACCTTGCTGCAGCTCAGAGGTGCTACCAGAACCAAAGGAGACCAGCACCACAGGAAGGCATTAGAGCAGAAGCGTCTATGGTATGCTCTGGGTCAGGCTGAAGGTTACAGTCCTCCTGGGTGGCTTGGGAGGAGAATGAAGATAGAGGATAAAAGTAATGGTGTCTGGAGCCCTGATGCCAAGTGCAGCACTTGGGTCTGGGTGGTGGAGTTGAAATTAAGAGCTGCTGACCCTATAGGGGAAAACACAGATGACACCCCCCGCCGGTGGCCAGACCTGGGTGACCAGCCCCCTGGGGATGGAAGCAAATGGGCGGCGACTGTGATGGACTCTCATCTGGGCTCCAGGTGACCAGGAAAAGGTGAAAGAGTCAGACACCCTCTTGAAAGCATCACCGCATGTAGAAGAGCATCTGTGGTGTCCCAGGGCCAATAGTCTCATCAGAGGGAAACCTTGGGAGGCCCCCTTGGTCAGCTCTCTGCCTCTGCTCAAGTGCACTGCTGCACTGCTTTGCTCAGGTGAAGGCAGCCCCATGCACAGCCCTAGACTCTGGTGGGACCCTGCAGGGTGACCTCTGTTAGTTATGGTTCACTGTCTCTGGTCGACTTCCTGCTCTCCCCTGGGATCCCCTGGATCTCTTTAGGACCAGCAAGGACAGTGACAATGGTGAGCACAGTGGCTGCCCTGAGACCTGCTTGGGCTTTGTCCCTGCTGTTAGATACTTGTGGTTGCTCCTGGTTGGAGGCTTGCTTCTCAAAACTCCCAAGGGAGAGTTTGCTCATTGCAATGGCCTCTGTCTCAAAAAGCAAAAAAGGAGGGCTGTGGGGGAGGCCCTGACATTGAATTGCATGAATCTGCTCAGAGATGCTGTGGCCCTGAGATGAGGTGAACATGAGGTCCCTGATGACAAGGGACCTTATTTTTGGATCAGAATGAAAGAAAATAAACAAAAAACCTGAAGGAGAACCTTCAGTGGACACGCTGTGCTGGAATCTGCGGAGGGACGCATTCAGAGCAGAGAGTGGTGTCTGCATCTCCTGGGGGTGCTGCCGGACAGGCAGGGGTTTCTTAGGGGGCGTCGGGCGTGAGTGCTAGAGGCTGAGCATGGTGGCATCTGTGCGAGGACCTGCGTGAAGGAGAATAAAGGAAGCAGAAGCATTTCTTCTTGTTTTACTAGGTCTGCAAGTATTTGAAGTCTCTGATTCCAGCCCTGGACGCCTCCCGCTGGGCAGCAAAGCCAGGGGTGTCAGGACAGCCCTTGAGTCCAGGATGCACCCTCCTGCTCCTGAAATTCTGCCTTTATAAGTTCCCTTCTTTGGGTCTTGGAGATTTTTTTTTTGTATTGATAAATGTTTTTTTAATTTTTATTATTTTTTTGTTTCAACCTCTTCTGGGAGGGGCCATTTACCTGCTTCTATCCCCTCTTTCTTTCTTCCTTCCTTCCTTCCTTCCTTCCTTCCTTCCTTCCTTCCTTCCTTCCTTCCTTCCTTTCTCTTTCTTTCTTTCTTTCTTTCTTTCTTTCTTTCTTTCTTTCTTTCTTTCTTTCTTCTTTCTTTTAGGAAAAACTCACATGACATAAAATTGACCATTTTGAAGGGAACCATTCAATGGCATTTAGCACATTTGTGATGTGGCCTAGTCCAGAGCAAGCCTGTGCCAGCTAGTTTAGCAGTTACTGCCCCTTCTCCCCACAGCGCCCCCAGCCCCTGGCAACAACCATCAGTCAGCTGTCGGGATGGATTCGCCTATTCTGGACGTTTTATGTAAATGGAATCACACAATATATGGCCTTTGGTGTCTGGTTTCTTCCACATTGATGGATGTTGTTGAGGTGTATCCACATTGTAGTGGACATCATCAGTGCTAAGTTCCTTTTTATGACTGAATTGTGTTCCTTTTTTTTTAAATTAATTATTTATTTGAGAGTGAGTGAGTGAGAGAGAGAGAGAGAGAGAAAGAGCACAAACAGGGGGAGCAGCAGGCAGAGGGAGAGGGAGAAGCAGACTCCCTGCTAAGCAGGGAGCCTGATGCAGGACTGGGTCCCCAGACTCTGGGATCATGACCTGAGCCAAAGGCAGACAGGTGCTTCACTGACTGAGCCACCCAGGCAACCCGATCATGTTCCTTTTGATGTACCTGTGGGAGAGGGTCCCCAGGACCTCACTGGGCATTGCTCGCTCGTTGGTCCATACGCCTCTGGGAAGCAGAGGGACCTCATTCTCCCTTATAGCCAAGCATGTGCCCACCCTGTGCCGTGTTTGTGCCCAGACTTGGAAGTCCAAGCATATCCTTTGCCTCTTATTTCTATCTGGTTAAGGCACGACAAGCAGAGGACACTTCATGGCTCTGCCTTGGCCCCAGCTCATCCACGGGCAAGTCCCAAGGCTGCTGTTCAAGAACTTGGATGATGCCTTGGAATCCCCTCTGTTACAGAGGAGGAGACACACTCTGGTTCGTTGAAGCAGAGGGTCATTTTAGGAGCAGGGAACAAATGGAAAACATCCAGGTTGTGAGCTGGCCTTTTCTCAGTGCCAGAGCACGTGGGTCCTTGGGTTCTACCAATAACATGCCAGGCATTCCCTGGCCACACTATCCTGCCTGGATGCTGTGTTTATTTCTTCCCAATGGAGGCATGTCCCATCATTCCTTTTCCCCGTGTGGCCAGGGCTGCCCGCTTCCTCCTCAGGGACCCTAGTCCCCTAGCTGTGTGTGCTCCCTCCAGCTCATGGGGACCCCTCCCCATCTCCAGGTGAAGAGCAGGCCGTGCAGATTCCATCCATTCACACCTGCCCAGACACACCTGCTTCCATTCCATCACTTGTGGCCCCTGAAGCAGATAGCAATCTGGTTCCCAGTGTGTTGACGAAACAGAAAACTAATGTGCTTGCCAAAATGCTGGGGCTCCTACTTCCAGGTGCTTGTAAAAATAATAGGACACTTAGTTTTCAAAGGAAAGCCATTCACTGCCTGTCTTCGCTGTGTCTCCCAGAGGAAAGGGGAGGCCTGCTCTGGCTCCGTATTTTTTGCCACTGTCTTGAACTAAAGTGGTTTCATACATGTATACATCTTTTTCCTACCCCACAGAATTAAGGCAGCAGCAGGTGTGAAAATATCAGCCGTGCGAGTCAGCAGCGAGCAGCAGTGGGCAGTCCAGGAAGACATAGACGGCAGTGGCGAGCAGACGACAGCTACCCTAACCTGTGTGGGCCACCACCCCGACACGCAGAGCAGGTGAGCACTGACTTCTCTGTGCGCGGTCTGGCCATGGTGGGGCTGGGGTGGCTGCAAAAGTTGATAGCAGAATAATCTGCGCATAAATGAAGTGATGCCTCTGCCTTTAATGGGCAATGTGTTCCTTTCGCTCAGCAGCACTGCTTTCCCGTTTGGCTTCCGAATGGCTCCATTATGGGGCTGCGCTGCTGTGGGAGGCTTTTATTCTTCACGCTCTTTATACACCAATGATCCAATTAGGTTGAGCAGTCTCAAAAATTACCTGAACTCGCATATGTGCAGGGTTCGAGAACTGTATTTTAGGAATTTATTATTATTAGTGTTATTGTTTGCACCGAAGACTGAAGAATGAAATGAGGATCATAGAAATGATTTAAGAGGCAAGGGGGAAATGTACCTTTCTATGAACAAACGGAGGGTGGCTAGAGCGACTGAGTAATTGTCTCTTAGTGCTTAAATGCAGTCATTTTGCAGATATCACACCTGGGTATTGGTGTAATGGATGCTGAGTGTGAAGTCAGATGAACTTGGCGTTGTGGCAGGCACTTGTCCTCTCCAGCTCAGATACTGGCCGTGGGTTTCATGGGGATGCACTCACTAGGTGGTGGAGGGGGGGTCACTGCTAGTCACCATGCATTAGGACTCCAGGAAAGCAGAGGGAGCTGTCCCCACTGTGGCAACAGCCTTCTCTATTGAGGGGTCAGGCCAATGAGCCACTAGACATGTAACCCCAGCCCCTGCCTTCAAGCCACAATGGTTCACACTTCATTCAGCCAGGATGAGACTCCAAGGCCTCAGCTGAGCAGGTGAGCCCCTTGCAGATCTCTTGTCACCTTCCATTGTCATACCCTGTTCTCTTTTCTGTCTCTTCTAGTATTTATTTTTTATTTTTTTAAAATATGCTCTTTTTTTTCCCAACAAGGAGCTTTGTTTTTTTTTTTTTTTAAGATTTTATTTATTTATTCGAGAGAGAGAGAGAGAGAGAGGCAGAGACACAGGCAGAGGGAGAAGCAGGCTCCACGCAGAGAGCCTGACATGGGACTCGATCCTGAGACCCCAGGATCACACCCTGGGCCAAAGGCAGGTGCTTAAAATGCTGAGCCACCCGGGCTGCCCTCTTCTAGTATTTAAACTCACAGAGATCCACACAGTGTTAGGCCCTAAGGGGGTACCCTGTGAAGGCACTGGGTGTGGGTGGGCGGTGGGCTCCTGAGGCTCGGAGAGATTGAGGGAAACTTGCTTCCTCCAGTGGAGTCCTGCACTGAGTGCTCCCTGCCTGGGTAACTCCAGCCAGCCTTAACCAGAACCCTGTCCTACCTGCTTTTGAAGATCTTTTTCTGTCTTTCTTTTTTAAAAATCTTTTATTTAATTTATTCATGAGAGACACAGAGAGAGGCAGAGACACAGGCAGAGGGAGAAGCTGGCTCTTCACAGGGAGCCCAATGTGGAACTCAAGCCGGGATCCCAGGATCATGCCCTGAGCGGAAGGCAGACGCTCAGCTGCTGAGCCACCCACATGTCCCATGAAGATCTCTTTCAAAGAGAAAGGAGTGAGTGGTCACGGGCCTCCTGTTAGGAATATTGCTGACTCCAGACTCAACATTCTGATTATCCTCCTCTCTATCCCTTGACGGAGCTTTTTTGTCCGCAACCTTGCATGGTGCATGATTTCACTGGAAGTCTATCTCCCTGCTGAGTGTTCCCACATCCCAAATTGTCAGTATATGGGGAGAGCCTAGGATTTTTATACTGGCTCAGGTGCTTTCATCTGCAAGTACTAGGATATCAACCAAAACATGGCTGCTGCAACATGGTTTTATCATCTCACTTGGCAAGAAACTTAGGAGCAGGTAGTTGGCTGCTGGCTAATCTGGCAGCAAAGATGGTGTCACTCAGGTGTGTCCTGTCTTCCTCTCTGTTGTACCTAGCTCCCTGAATGTCATCCTTCATCTTCATCTTGCTCAAAATCACAAGGTGGCTGCAGCAGTTCCAGGCATTACCAGCTCACCCAATTGTTCACTAATATGGGAAGGGAGAGCTGCTTCTCCTGTGTACCTCTTTTTTTATCAGGGAAAAAGTCCTGGAAGTTGTCTCTTTAGATCTCGTGGAGGAGCGATGGGCCCCTGCTTTTGCCCAAGAAGCAGTCTGGGAAAGCAAACACCTGGCCCTGTTTTGGAGAGTTGTAGTGGGGGTGTCTTTGTTATAAAGGAAGAAGGGTGGGAGAAGGTGGTCAGCTAGCACTGCTGACCACTCTCTTCAAACGTGGTGCCTGCCAAGGGTTGTGGCTTCATCTCTGTTTTGCACTGGGGCTCAGACTCCCTCTGGGTTGCTAAAGTGTTGGTCAGGTAGGCTTTGTCCAGTGGCTGAAGCCCAAGTGAAAAGGAGTCTTGGGTTCCTCATGCAGGTGGAGCTGTTACCAGGGGCGTCTGGATCCAGATGCCAAGTGGCATCTTTAGTGCCCTGGCCCCTGTCTTTTTGGGTTGGCAACATCTCCAGCAGGATCTTCCCTCCTGGTGGCAGGTCGGCCACCAGCAGCTCCCCAACGTCCATCCTGCTGTTGCGGTCACTTCAGGGAGGATGCTGCTTTCCCCTGTCAGGTCCACTGGCTCTGTTTGGTCTAGTTTGAATCATGGAGCTACCAGAACCAATCTCTGTGGCCACGCACCTGAATGACATGGACTTAGAGGATGGGGAAGTGTTCTGGGGGATGGATGCTGGGGGTGAGGAGACAGAAATGAGAGGGGGCCTTGTGGTTACCACAGTCCTGCTCTACTGGAGAGGCCCGAATGGAATGTTTGGACTTACACCCTCTGAAATCACCATTTGAGTATATATACATCTTGGGCATAGATTTTCCTTGACTTAAAATGGGGTTAGCTCCTGATAGACCTGTTGTAAGATGAAAATATCATGAGTCAAAAATGCATTTATCAGACCTGACCTATGGGACACCACAGCTTAGCCTGGCCCACCTAATTCATGCTCAGAGCACTGATATGAGCCTCCTTTTGGGCAAAATCATCTACTACAAAGTCTGTTTTATAAGGAAGTGTTGACTCTACCATTTAATTTACTGAGGACTGCACGGACAGTGACAAACAGAATGACTGTGTAGGTGCAGGTTGTAGTCAGTGACCCTGGTGATCACATGACTGATGAGGCACTGTGTTTGCTGCCCAGCATCATGGGAGAGGATGGGGCCACAGATCGTGAGCCCAGGACGAGATCCAGATTCAAAATTCCAAGTATGCTTCCTTCTGAATGCATGTTCCTTTTACATCATCATGAAGTTGAATGGTTGCAAGTCAAGCTTTCCTGTGTCTAAAGGGTCTGTACGAGGGCAGTATCTGTGGTCTAGATGTAGGAAATTGACTTTTTGAAATATTTAATCATGTGATGATGTTTTAAATTGAAAATAAAACATAGGCTGTGGTTATCACTTTTGATAAAGTTACAGGAGAAGAAAAGTCACTACATAGGCAGAGTTACATAATGATGAGATGCCCTCCTATCCAGTGTCCTCCTCATTCTTCTCCGCTTCGGTGTTTGACCTCCCTGGGGCTGTAGGAAGGACGGGTTTGATGCTTTGGCATGACAATTTATACTTATCTAATAACTCTCTAAAATTCATTCCATAATCTAAATAAATAATTGCTTCTTTTTGTACTTTGCTGTTGAATTGTGATGTCAAATGAGGTGTGAAATACAAGCTCATGGACCGTGTTTGCCAGCTAACAAAGTGAATATATGAATATATCCCTAACAAAACATCCCTCAGAAAGCTGTAATCTCTGAATTGTGACAACCTTGGGTGGAATAGAGTTTTTAATAGAATATAATGTACAAACTGCCTGAAATTCTGTGATAAGAATTAAAAATGTGTCATATGGGAAGGCCCAATGCGCTCAGTTAGAAAGGCAGTAAAAGGTCTTAATTTAAAATATTTTAATGAACGCTCATTGTGAGGAAATGTGAATAATAAAGATGAAAACCGCAAGATAAAGAGTAGCGTTACCAAAGGAGGAGAGAAGAGATTAGAAAAATAAGGAAATTTGAAAGTGTTGGGAACAGATAACACGGCACTAATGGAAGGTGGCTGTCAGGTGGTTTGCATGGAGACCACGCATGGTCTGAGCTGGAGACAAGGTTGCTCCTTGAATGGTTTCTCTCTGGTTGTCGGGACCCAAATCTCTGAGAAAATAAGCTGCAACTTTTTCTGTGGTCAGAAACCACAATACAGAGCTCATTCTCACCTAAACTACTGGAGAAAAGCTCAGTGATGTACCACAGGAGTTTGTGCCTCTCCATAAGATAGAAAAGCAAAAGCCCCCAAATAGATTTCTTTAAAGAAATAGACACACCCCGTAAACTCAGCTCAAAGTGAAATCAAGACCAAGGTCAGATGTTTACTGTGGAGTGTTACCTGTTTGAAAATCTGGAGCTGATCTTCTAGGAGTTCTTTGCCTGCTGTCATCCAGAAAATCCTAGGCAAATGAAGGGATTGCCCTCCTGAGTGACCGGACTAATTCATTGGTTTTTTGAAATTCAGCTGTTAAACATGAAACCACACTGTTAGTATAAGAAAACCACTGTGTCAAGTGTCATTATATGAATTCAGGAAACACCAGGATAAATGATTCACTGCACTTCAGGATTTTTTTTTTATTCTTAGAAGAAGGACAAAGGAAGTTCAGTGGTGGTAGCAGCCTCCTCTGCCTTCACATATGAGTGGTGTTTCCTACCTGATTCTGTTTGTCAGTTTCTTTCCTTCTTCTTCTTTTTTTTTTAAGGTTTTATTTCTTTATTCATGAGAGACAAAGAGAGAGAGAGAGAGAGAGAGAGAGAGAGAGAGAGAGAAGGAGGCAGAGACACAGGCAGAGAGGTTCCATGCAGGGAGCCTGATGTGGGACTCGATCCCGGAACTCCAGGATCATGCCCTGTGCTGAAGGCAGGCGCTAAACTGCTGAGCCACCCAGGCATCACTTTTTTTTTTAAAGATA